CACAACCCACCGATAATGCGTACCAGCCACCCCCAACCGACCCCACATAAGGTACCCAGCCACCCCACGCACCCCACCATAACTACCAGCACCCCCAACCGCCCCCACCATAAGGTACCACCAGCCCCACGACCCCACCTTAGGGTACCAGCCACCCCACCGACCCCACGGCCTTACGGTCTACCATCCCACCCCAACCGCCCCCAGCCAATAAATGTATCAACCACCTCCACTGCCCGACCATAATGCTACCAACCACCTCACCCCACTCATCCATGATCTCTGTATGCCGCCTACGCACGCCGCCCCGCCCGCCCCGCCCACCCTGGCACGCTAGGAGGATGTGTCCACCTCTAGACGTCGATGCTTACCCATCCCGTCACGGATCCGACGTGCGACGTTGGCTCGTTACACATCCTTGCACCAAAATCCCGACACCACACGTGGACGAGCAGAACAACACTGCGCTTAACAGACCTAGCCACGACGGTGACGAGCAAACCATGCGACGGGTAGGGAGCGACCAGGAGGGTAGGGAGGCCGTCGAGCTAGCGAGGGTACGGGAGGGTGACCAGCGAGGGGAGGGGGGTGACCTGGGCATGGTTGGGAGGGTGACCAGACGGCAGATTAGCGGGGAGGCATTCGATCCAGACGGGAACGGAAGGAGGGCTCGACTGGAAAAGCGAACTACTTAGTTGATCACGCTTATTCATCCGATCAACGAGAGTTTCGAAACGAATGCCAGCCGCCGAGGCTTCCACCGACGCTCTACCGACGAGTTCTTCACAAATGAGACGGCCACTGTCCTCAGAAATTGCGGATTAATCTGACTTTCCCCCATGCCCTTTGGACCCATGACCCTCCATTCCCGCGCACCACTGCATGATGCCGTGTTTCCTGCCCATCCACATTACACCGTATTTCCCCTCACTCATACCTGAAGTTAAGCGCGCGGACAATCATTCCCCTCCCGTTTACAATCTCTGACCTTGAACCCCGCTTGACCCCGAAAATTTCGTCATCCCTGCCATTCCGCTTTTTTACGACCCCCCCTCCCGCCAGACTGTCCTCCGAATATGTGACCGTACGTCGTTCGGTTAAGATTTGTTGGCCCAACTGTTGACGCAGCGGACGCACGGCGACGCATGCAACGTGATGATCATGGAGCTCTACAAGCTGCATCCTGAACTACGTTCAGATGAGCTGAATTTTAATGGGACATTGCAATCGGCTCACGCTACCACCGGCGACGAATGGTGGGGACCAGCTCTAGAGGACTCTCGTGAGCGAGGGGATCACGGGGCGGCGCGAACCGGTTACCTGGCTGTGTGTAAACGGAGAAAGTCATAAGCGGTTCCGCTGTTGCTTGTTGACATCAGGTTGACGGGAGCTGCGGGGCTGACGGAGTCTCGACGGCTCGTTCAGTGTTCTCTAAAAATCAAAAACTCATCATTACGCGCGGATTGTCCGCGCCACAGGCGCGGCGCCAGGAAAGGGGGAGGGGGCGGCCACGCTTCTGCTCTACACTCTGCAACCTGGACAAGCTTTAGCCGCTGACCGACTCGACCTCGGCATCGAATAGTAGAGACTAGACAATCGTGCTGGCCAGTCTATCGCGCACGAAATAATCAATTATTTGCACTTTTATAGTGGGCGGTGGTGAGAAGAAGAGCTATCTGTTCCGATTAGCGGCTCTGCCGGGCAAGAACACGGAATACCTGAGTGTGAGACTGGTCGAGGTGAGGACGAGAGAAGAAGAGAGAAAAAGAGAGAAGAGAGAGTGAATGAAGGAGAGAGCAAGGAGAGAGAGAGAGATAAGGGAGAGACAAGATTAGAGAGGAGACGGGAGGAGGGAGGATAGAAAGAGTAGAGAGAGGAAGACAAAAGATAGAGAGAGAGGAGAGACGGATGATTAGAGAGGGATGATGAGAGAGGGAGGAGGGGGAGAGAGGAGATCCACCGAGAGTAGGCACGCGGCAGGAACGAGAGAGAGAAGAGAGAGGGGAGATGAGAAGAGAGAGCGAGAGAGGAGAGGAAGAGGAAGGGGGAGGGGAGAGAGCAGACTCAGAGACAGCGAAGAGAGAGAGGAGAGACAGCGGCAGATAGAGAGAGACGAGCAGAGTGAGAGTAGATGAGAGAGAGAGATAGAGAGAGAGAGAGAGGAGAGAGATAAGAGAAGAGCGAGAGAGAAAGAGAGAGCGAGAGCGAAGAGAGAGAGATGACGAGACGAGACGAGACGGAGAGAGACAAGAGACGAGAGAGAGAGAGCGTGTGGTTATGGACAGCTATTCACTGATGAGAGGGCCTGTATTTCCAATAGTCGGCTCGCTAGCAGCCCTGAAATGTTACCTGTGACGATCAACATGCAAACATCGCTAAAGTTCTCATGTTCTCACCTCTAAACAGTCGTTACAAACACGCAGGGTCGTACTTAGTTGATGAAGTCAGTCAAATATTTACCTCTTGATATTCTAAATTCAAATATATTATAAATCTCTTGATATAATTGCATTCCTCACCCCAGAAAATGTATGTTTAGACACCAAGTTTGCCCTTGTAAGTGGCCTAGAAGCCAAGATATTGGCATTTACAGATTTTTACCTAGTGGCCATCTTGTAATCCAAGATGGCCACCTTCCTCTATCTTGGTGAAATGGCTCTTATCAAAAATTGAAAGCTAAGCAATGGCTAGTACACTGGAAAAAGTTTTGGGTTGCATTATCGGAATGTCCACATTAACTGGAGAAATGACGTCAGGCAAAAGCCTGCTCGCTGATTGGCTGATTGGCCCGTTACAGCTCTCTGATTGGGCGCAACGATTTCGTGTTTCGCGTTGCGGGCTGGAGAGGCAAGTGGTACAGGCGGTGAAGTGTAGTGAAGCGGAACCGGAACCGCCTGTATCATACAGGTTAAGAAGTGGGAGGCTATCATGGATGGATGTTTTGCACACAGGGAGCCACGAGGAAAGTATTCATACGTACTTTGATGGGACGTGTTAGATTTTCTGTATGGGATAGGTTATCATTGTAAATCTGTTAATAAATCAGGTTGTCTCTTCCAACCATGACCGAATTTTCATGTTTTATATACCGTGTCATTTCTCTCATTTTCTTTCATAATCTGTGTAACTGTGTGAGCATTGGACCCAGCATGTAAGCGGCAAGTAATCAGTGGGTAGGGACGGTTCTTGTAAGGGCAAATACTTTTGTCACGACTGTGTAAATACACTATTAAAGATATATTGTAACAACAGATTTTATAAATACATGTATATATTTATATACACACCCTTGGTACACGCTTCGATACGAGAGACGCATCTTAACTCAAGAACTGGAATCTTTAGAAAACCCCTTTAGTGGCGCCCTCTTTGATGAAGATAAGGAGCCCTAGCTCACGTGACATTAATAACATCGGGTTAATAAGGGGTTAGTAATAATAATGACAATTTGTCATTATTAACCCATGATAACATTGAAATCAGCCAATAGGTGGCGATATGTTCTATAGGATATATGCAGATTTCCAGACACTATTTAATGAATTAAATAGTATTTGTTGATGTTGTACTTTTAATTTACAGAGCACATGCCTATAAGTGCTTTGAATAATCATAAGGTACCCATGCTGTGCATGCATCCACACAATTTTTTCGCACAGTACAGCGCATAGCATAACAGGAAAGCTATGCTATACTATGCCATGCTATGCCCAAGCTATGCTCGCGCATGCCCAGTATCTGCAAAATTAAATTAATTTGTAATTTGGTTGAATTTATACAGTTAAAATGAAGAGGAAATACTTGTCGCAGTAGCATATGAAAAATACATCACGATGCCTCTATTTAATCATATAGTGTGGAGATTTCAGGGGATTACGTCATACAAACCAGAGACCAGTTCAACAGCAACAGGGATAAAAGGTTTTCCCCAACGACACAAACAAGCTGGAGGAGGGGGTCCCATAGCTACCAGATGTGGGAGATCAGGGAGTTGCGCCATCACGCACACGCGCCGGGCGAGAGAGCGGCGCCGGCCGAGCACGTGGCAGACAAGGGGGTGTGACGCTTAGACATATCCTGGACCAAGGGGGTTGCATCACCTGTACATGTGTTAAGCGAGGGGGGTGGCAACGGCCCGGCACCCGAGGTACAGGAGTGGGAGGCACTGCCAGGTTCCTACGTCACCGCAGGGTCCTATATAAGCAGCCGAGAGCCAACAGTAAAATCAGTCAGTCTTCGGACGGCCACGAACAAACGAACGAACGAACGAACGAACGAACGAACGAACGAACGAACGAACGAACGAACGGACGGACGAGCGAACGAACGGACGGACGGACGAACGAGCGAACGAACGGACGGACGGACGAACGAGCGAACGAACTTCAGCCCAGTACGTGTAGAACCTGTACGAACGCAGCAGCCAGCGGCCGAGCGTGATCCGTTATCACGCGCGG